GTGTGGGTCTGTTGATGTGTTCCAAGTGCGAAGCATTTGTTCTACCTACCTACCTACCTACCTACCTACCTACCTACCTACCTACCTACCTACCTACCTACCTACCTACCTACCTACCTAACAACCTACCTACTTATCCATCTATCTATCTGTCTATATATCTATCTATCTATCTTTCTTTTTTTTTATCTATCAATCAATCTGTCTATCTATCTATCTATCTATCTAACTAACTATCTATCTATCTATCTATTCGCATACGTCTAGGTTCTCTGGTGATCTCCTCCTCAGCTTGCTGTAGACTGATATTGGTATTATAGGAGGGTGAAATAGTTTGAGTTCTACTGTCTTGTATTGATGTGAATGGCGTGAAAAGATTGTCCCTTACGCGATTCAACGCTTTCCTCCAGACACGAGTGGCACGTACCCTCACACCGCGGGCTACGGTGTGCTGGTATGCGCCCCAAGTGATTCATTATTTGTGTTCCCACGACGGCAAGAGCAAATAATAATAGTTTAAATAAGATAGCATTAGAAGAAACCAACATCGGCATCGCTGAGCCGACGAATGTAAGGAATAAACTAGACAACTTTAGCAGAAACTGAACCTACGGATCTGCGTGGCAGTCAGGCATTCTAACACAGTGCAACGCGAGGTCTTAAAACTGCTTTAAAAGAAGCAATCCAGGCGTAATAGCAGCGTAACGTTCTTGCTCATTGCAGTGCGCTGCACCGAATCTTCTAACAAAGCAACAAACAGTACATACATACTTCTATATTGATGGTATGGGCGTGATGTCGGGTTCCTGTCAGCCATGGTTCCAATATCGCTTCCGCTTTTCTAGCAATATACCAAAAATAAATTCTTGTTTCTGCGATTCACCAAGATATCTTCAAGTGGCGCTCGACCCACACGAATACGCTTATGAAAGTTACGTGTTGATTGATTGATATGTGGGGTATAACGTCTCAAAATCACCATATGATTGAGAGACGCCGTAGTGGAGGGCTCCGGAAAAAGTTACGTGTGCTATTCGTATCGTGGCAACACAATGTCTCCTCTGTTTCAATTACACTGACGCCTCTGCTCTAACGGGAATTCTGGCATTACGCCAGACCATAAGTAACCCTTTAAACGGCACTATCGCCAACGTTCCTGGTAAGCCCATGCTGTGCAAACAACTACTTAAACTCATAAACATAAGTCTATTCATCTCGCGAAGCTTGTTTCAAAGACAAGAATGCTGCATAGACAAACTGAAGTTTTGCGCACGAAAAAAACACGGAGAGAGGTAAGCTAATATGTAAAATGAACGAGGCTGAACTGAGCAATAGGCTGAGCAATAACTGTATTTCCAAACCATTCACTGCATTGTTCTCTAAGGAGTCACACTACATACGTGAATACTGTTAAATTTGCAAAGAACGTGTAAGCATTATGGTTGAAAAGTGGCGTGTTATCACCTGTTTTCAAAATAATCATGATTGCACCTCAGCGCTTGTGCCATGTCTTTTTCTCCCCAAGCTTTCTTTGTGTGCTCTAAAAGTGCCGTATGACCTGCTTGCACGCTCAAAACAGCTGTGTTACTGCGTAGGTGACTACTCGCCGGATGCTTTGCATGAAACTGACACCCACAAGGCATAGCATTTGTTGATTTTTTCAGTACAAACTAGTGTCCTTTGTAAGGAGCGAAGCACCTTATGGCGTGGGCTGAGCGTCTCGTTGTAATTAAATGTAGCCACCTTCCGTTAGTTCTTGAACTTGCCGTTGAGGGCAGTACTTGTATATAGAACGAAATGCATCTACGCAGAAAAATGGAAATGGTATGATACTAGAAGACGTTACTTGTAGTATGATAAACAACAAAAATTACAGCACATTAAAGGAGTGAATAATGATGAGTGGGGCTAAGCACCCGTCACTGCGTCAGTGCTTCTGGCCATCCGTTCGTTCTTGCTTCCGTCCATCCTTGCGTCCATCCATTAGAGCGCCCTTCCATGCGTTCATCCGTGCGTCCATCTATCCATCCGTGCACCCATCCATGTGTTCGTCCCTGCATTCGTCCGTGCATCCTTCCGTCTACTCGTGCGTCTACTCGTGCGTCCATCTGAGCGTCCGTCCATGAGTTCGTCAATGCGCCCGTCCCTGCGTTTGTGCATGCGTCCACCCGTCCGACCGTCCATGCGTCCTTCCCGGCGTTCAACCATGCGTTCGTTCGTCCTTGCGTTCGTCCATTCATCTGTTCATGCATTCGTCCGTCTGTGCGTCAAACAGACCGACAAACAGACGATGGACAGACACGGCCAGCGCATGATTCACGGTTTGCCGATAAAAAGTATGATACGCGCAAGACGGTGGTGGCTGGTGCTCGAAGACGAAACGCCAATGTGCGAGTGTGCGAGAAAATAGGAATGACGTCACTGGAAGACATTAGCGATCGCATGTTCGTCGGCGGCGCCGTATGCTAGGGGGGGGGCGGTGTAGTAAAATTAAAACACTTTTTGGCGCACGGACGCGTTCAGAAGGTCGGTGGATGGACATGGCTGCAGAACGTCGTGCGCGCAAAGCGGCGACAGCTCGCGCTCGAAGACAAAACTTCGATATGCGAGCGCGCGAGGCAGAAGCATGCCGTGAAGCTGCGTGGTGGCGCCGACAAGATCCCGGCGTTTGAGGACGAGAAGCCGAAGTGGTGCGGTAGCGGCCTGCGGACGCAGCTTCACTCCACTCTCCATCATTCACCCCGTGGATATCTTATTTTTTTATTCCTCACCTGTTCGCCTCTTCTTCAAGATGGCGCAGGTTATAGTCGTGAAAACAACGTCAGCACCTAATGTACTTCCCAACTTCAGCGTGTGCGCTGCAGAACAAATAGAATGGCTACTACTCTGCAAGTCTGTTTGAAAAAAATGATATTACTGTAACCTAGTTACAGATATCTGAAATTTGTCAAATTATTTGCCCAGTTATTTTCTTGGACGACAAACAAACTAAATTGATTTATTGCTATGTGTGGTTTAATGTCCCCAAACCACCATATGATTATTAGAGACGCCGTAGTGGAAGGCTCCGGGAATTTCGACCACCTGGGGTTCTTTAACGTGCACTCAAATCTGAGCACATGGGCCTACAACATTTCCGCCTCCATCGGAAATGCAGCCGCAACAGTCGGGATTCAAACCCGCGACCTGCCGGTCAGCAGCCGGGTACCTTAGCCATTAGACCACCGCGGCGGGGTAGAACAAAATAAATTAAAATTGGAATAGTCACAATGCATCCCTAGGCAAGCGCAGCCTTCGAGGACATTCCACAATAGAGATGGGTGATTTGATGGGGCTGCATTGCCCTCTCCCGAATAGCGTATTTTTGCATATATTTGTTCGTATTATGGTAATACCTCAGTCACCACTTTTTCTTTTCCTTTGCGTCTTAATGCCCTCAAGTTCTTTCGCTTTTTAGCGGAAAATTTAGTGGCTGACTTTAGTGGTACTGATAAGCTTTAGCTCAAGAGTTCAAACACATATCAAGCGTGGACATATCTCTAGTAAGTAACCGCTGCATCGAGTTTATTTAAATGTGTCGCACTTGAAAAAAATAGACAAATTTAGTAGCTTCTCAATGAAAAACAGTAATTTAATAGTGTAACGTGCTAAAATTAAACCACACATTGTACTGGAAGCACAGCACAAATTTTTTGGGTCACAAATGCAAGATAAGTTTGCAAGTATTTGCGCTTAATCTACGCATATATCCTAAGGTTTTTAGCATTACATATTAGATAAAAAAGCAGAAAGTTCGAATATAGTTATAATTGTGCATAAAATTGTTGTAGGTATTACGGCATCTGTGCTAAATATTTTGCTCACTTCCTTGGCTAATGTTTTCAAGTGATCAATTTGACATAAACTCTGGGTTCGGCTTGATTATGTAACTTTAACCGAAATTCTGAGTGCTTTTTTTTTCTTGTTCAGTGATCAAGTTGAAAAACTTAGTGCTTTCTTTAACGTTTTTCAATACTCAAAATTGTCTAGAAATATTTATGTACAAAATGAAAAGGTGGTGTTGGCAGTCATTGAAAATTGTTTTCCTTCCGAATGGTAGCACAATAATGCAAATTGCAAACACGCTTGGCAAGGCAAGTGAGTTCTCAATTTCTTGTATTTACGTAAGCATTCACAAACAAAGCAAGTTTTTTCCTAGATGACGAATCATATAGTGAAATAATTTAACCATGAAACTGCATAAGGTGGTGAGCGATTTGCAGGCACATTCGATAGTCAGCAGCTCATTTTTGGGAAGGGTTACAATGCCCGCTATACGAGAACTTCACCAAGCCATTGCTCGTATTTTTGTCGCAAAATGTTCTGCGAACCACAGCATCTCTTTTTCGTAGGTGTATAACCCTTGCGTTCCACGTTCACACAGCAAACTTAGTGAAGTTAAGTAAGGTACCTAATTGACGATGCCCTCATCAATTCAGTGTCATGCCTAGCTTAGGGAACATGTTACAGCCACAAGGCCAACTAGCTACTCTTACATAGCAAACACTACTGAAATGCTGAAGATAAAACGTCCTTTAGTAGCGCTATTTAATTCTTCCCTAAAGCCGTGCTGTTCACGTTTTGATATCATGAAAATACACAAACATAAAGTAGGAAATTGATTTTACTACTTTCATCATTTCCGAAAGCGTTTTTTTTTTTCGGTTAATGCTCTCTGTTTCGTTTTCTATGCCTATGCTGGTTCAGTAAATGATTTGTATGTCCATTGAATCAGTCTGTTCAGTCGCTAATCAAACGTTTGGTAGGCCACTCCACTAATGCCGTATACTACCGCAAGCATCCCACAAACATATAAGACAAATTAATGGAGCATATGCCTTAAATCTTAAATCTTGCCCTTACAATTCTTCTTGTTCAGGGCAAGTGAAACGGTATGGCTACAAAACTATTTGTAAGAGCCTGTCAGGAACTAATTAATTAGAAATGAACACATAACACACCTGTTCATGGAACTCTGCATAGCCGAGCGAAACGTTCTCGACAGGGAAATGTGCGGCTGTTCTGTGTCCCCATTTTTCGGCTGCTTCCGAGGCGACTTGCCCCAAAGTGGCATGACGCAGCGGCGGGTGCGAGGCACCGGTGAGGTGGCAACAGGCCCGAACCCCGTACCACCGAGCAAGCAGCGCTGTCAGGAATCCCATTACTGCCGTGGCAACGGCCGTCGTCCTGAAGCAGAGTGGAGTGGCGGAATTCGCTGAGACTACGGCGTGGAGGGCCCTGCGACAGGGGCCTCGATAACGATAGCTGAAAGCTTTGTTGTCTTTCTGGATGTACTGGACGATAAGCGCACTTGAGAACCTTTTCATCGTGCCCTACTTTCTGGCTGCGTAAGCACTTAGCTAAGTTTGTTTTCTTTTTTAGAAATAACAATAGTTAATGCAAAACCACGCTGTAGTATATTGAACGAGGCTTCATCAAAAGCCCCTGCTTGATCAGTATATTTACGAGCAATAGTATCAAGAATATCACCACGTGCACAGAGTTATGCAATCCAACCGCTGAATAACTGATAGATGGCAGCACAAAACTTTGTTTCGAACCATAGCTGGCAAAATTTTCACACGAAGTACACACAGTATAACTGCTTCGTGGCAGACTTTAGATGCAGACACCATGACCACTTCATCGAAAAACTGAGACTCCCAACCGCACATTTGAACGCGCGACGCAGACAGTGGCTCAATTCATTTAACTTTAATTATCAATACGACCATGTGGGCACTTGCACGCGTGTTAATAGTATCAATTAGAGACCTTCGTCAAATTTGATTGATATGTGGGGTTTAACGTCCCAAAACCACTATATGATTATGAGAGACGCCGTAGTGGAGGGCTCCGGAAATTTAGACCACCTGGGCTTCTTTAACGTGCACCCGAATCTGAGCACACGGGCCTACAACATTTTCGCCTCCGTTGGAAATGCAGCCGCCGCCGCCTGGATTCGAGCCCGCGCCCTGCGGGTTAGCAGCCGAGTACCTTAGCCACTAGATCACCGTGGCGGTGCACCTTCGTCAATTTTAAGTTTAAATATTATAGCCCAGATTTGCTGACTTTATGTCACGAAGGCTTACGTAACAGCGAAATATTTTCCATTTTTTCATAATTCATTGTTTTAAACTCAGGTACCAATTCAACACTCTCAGGTCTGACCTTAGCTTCTCTGAATGAAAGCTCTGGTTCTTGTGTTTTCCGCTTGCGCTGTGCTTCGATGCCGCTTGCACAGGCTTCTGGATTGGAACGACGTCGACGTGGACGTTCACACCGCCAATTTCGTTTGAGCTCCCGATGAGCTGCCTGCGTAGAGAGCATGACTTTGCCAATCGTAAACATTCTAGATAGCCCACTGTGCTTCCAGGTGGCATATTTTTGCCTAAAACCAGGAGCAAAATGCTCATGTCACTTTGATTGCAAAGTAAGTTGCACGCAAGACGTTCCAGCCTGCGACAGGCTACTTCTTCATTTCTAGAGTACCAGTGTATCCAATAAGTTATGTTCCACAATTTCCCAACTTCTTCATTTTGAGTGGACGGGAGATTTGTAGTTCGCCTCGGCCGCTATCTGTGGCACACGCCTGGTTATAGACGTGATCCCCATTACGCCAATCGTTCTGAGGAAACTTTGACAATAAAGAGCACCACTGTAAAAACGATTGATGTTATAGTTTAAAGTGGTAGGTTTAAGAAGCTCGTTTCATAAAAAATCCAGTGTCAGCAACATTGCGCAGGCTTCTGGGGACTCGTGAGCGACAAATGGCGTTGACCGCTAGCGATAGTGTCTTATATGTAACATTGACTAAATAATAAACATATTCAAACAACTTCTTCAAGGTATTGTGCGTGGCAAGCAGGTTTCCCTAAAGCATGGTTGGTGGCGATGCTCTCGAGGCCCGACTTCACAACGCGTTCCAAGGCAGGGCACAAGCGTCCCCCAAGTTTTGTAGTGATGAATTCATACGCGAATAGACGCATCTATTTGCACACGTCGATTTACACACACATTTATGAGACAGCTAATTCTGACTCAGATCAAGCCGTGAGTCCGAGCGAGTTGAGCTTTTTATTGTTTGGTGAGCTTAAGTCCAACCGAGTCTCGTTGAGAACAAACAGAGAGTGAGTCTCGCTGAGTATAGTTGCGTGATATTTTGCCGAGTCTGGGTCCAAGTTACACCGAAGCGCCAAATATATTTGTGTAGTGAGTCTAATGACCTCACTTCGTTGCTGCTCTGTAGTCCTATCTTCTCATCCTCAGCAGTACTATGAGCCATGCATAGGCTCAACGTTTCTATTCACGCCTTTTCAGAAATATTGCGACGGATTTCGCATTTATATGTCACCTCATTGTTATTGATCTTAGGGGCCTGTTGCGGAGGGGCCTGCAACTTATTCCGCCTCCTCGCTTTTTTCCCTCCCACAAACTTTTATTTTCAGTGAGTAGAGTGTATCCATCATTCCAAACCCCAGAGAATATAAAAAACTCTTTTGATGTGAAAACACCCTTTCGCCATGGTGTAAGTTTGTAAATACGTTTGTCAATTGTACACACATCAAAATCACTTCAACTGTGTGAACAGACATGACCAATAAGCCCGTATTTTTTATTTCAGGCAAGTATTCAAGTCGAAGAGGTTCTATAGCGCGGGCCACGTGAGCCGCTTTTGCTGAACAGTCGTGATTCCGCTAGGCCAAAGAATTGCTCTGTCAAAAATAAGGTGACAAAAAGGGGTGGAGTTTTATGTAGTTGTTAGAAATAACGTATGAAGTACAGATTTTCAAGTATAGCAGAAGGAAATTCGTGCATAGTATTCAGTACCGTGTGATCGAAGTGGGCTTCATGACTATCTTAAAATTCATAACCGTGAAGAACGTGCAATCCACGCTTTTATATAAGTTATACACCCAGAGGGAAGCAAAGGGACAAATCTATTCCTCCTGTCGCTTAACTAAGTGGAATATAATAGTTAACTTCTAGTTACTACTGCAAGCAGGCATGTTTGCATTGAAAGGTTTGATGTTACGGCGTTTTTTCACGGATATATTTGAAATAGTTGTTATAACATGTGTGTCCTGTAAGGTATCCAGCTCAAAATTTTGAATGTGGTTTACATAATTATACATGACAGACAGCGGGCACTGGCGCGAAACTCAACTCCTATGTGCCGAGGTGGTTGTCTGCCACGTTTATTCTGACAATTGGTGAAAATCAGAAGCGAGGATTATAGTGGATACCTTTTACTACCGGACCGCGATAACAAGCAATTACTGCTAGTAACGTTTGCGACGAAAACTGCGGAGTTCGTATCATTTCACTGCAAACACAATGCAGATTGTCTATCTTTGAAATCTCTTGGAAACTTTACAGCCATCGCTTTTATTGCCAAAGCACCAGAGCCAAATTTGAAACTCACTTATAAAATCGCACCCTGCCTTAAGGTATTACACGCACTTGTTTGTTGTAAGCCGAACATTTCCAAGAAAAAGTTACAGATGTCTCGCAATGTAGGTGAGTGAGAGCCGGGATGTGTTAATATTGAAACGATGGGTGGCCAGTCACAAATAAAGGTGTTAATTCTCTGTCCCTGTAAGTATGTAGCAAAGCACGGACCTCGGCCTTGCACGAGCTTTGAAATTTTCGTAACAATGTTATTTCACGCATGGCATTCTCAATGCATATTTAATAATGAACCTCTCACGCGGTCAGTGACGGTACGTCCCCCTGCTTCTCCTTCTACACTCCCCCTTTGTCTTTTCCCCGGAACGCTGCAAACGTATTCCTCTATAGTTATTTTCACTAAATGTTCACAGCACACGATACCACAGACTTTTATTCGAAGCAAAATACGCTTCCATCAAACAACCTCGTTCATGCCCTAATCAAGCTTCGTCAAGGACACAGCCAAAGGGCAAAGATTTTTAAATATTTCATGATGATGATGATGACGATGATAATGATGTTGGTGATTATGCCTCTACTATGGCTCTTGCACACTCAGAGGCATTAGCCAAGAATTGAGTGTATGAAATTTAAGGCCTTGCGAATAATACCTAATCCTAACAGAAGGAAGATAAGCACACGTAAGTACAGAAAGTGTGCAATACTTTTGTTTTTGCCATTTTGACCACACAGAGTAATATATATCTCGAATTGAACTTGCAGTAATTTTGAACACGTTTAAAATGAATGTTTACAATTTGCCTAATATATTACAATAAGAAATATGCAAATAGGAATTTAAAGGCGCATTTGTTTTGTTTCAGGAAGACAACTACAAACGGCATTAAAGGCATTTCTGTGGCTGTAGCCAAGAACCGAAGACCAAAGGAGAGTATATTCTCAATGGTGAAGGGCAGTCCAAGATTAGCAAATGGGATGACAAGGAGACGTTTTCTTAATAGACTGTAACGGCAACATGACAAAAAACAATGGTCTATTGATTTCAGGTCTGTACAAAAGCTGCATAGGGGAGATATTCCCAGACTAGCCCTGTGTGGATATAGATTCAAAGGGGGCACATGACATCACAGTCTTGTTAGCGTGGCTCCCAGCTGTCTAGTATGACACCAGCTGGATTTCCATCGATATTTCAAATGTCTAAATTCAGTGCATGGTGTTACTGATTCTATGGCATCAGCCCTGAGTGCAAATTTTCGCTATCTTATCGCCGTTATACTGGACAGCACTGGAAGCACAGAAAGTATTGGGCCACTTAATGCCATTCGAGCTAATTAGTCCGCCATTTTATTTAACTCTAACCCGCAATGCCCAGGTACCCATAAAAATTTTAGGGGCTTAAGCTGTGGAGGAATTAGCGTAAGGAATGTCCTTAAGGCATCTGATTGAAATGAAACTGTCAGTGACGTACATACGGACAGGGAGTCTGTACTTACGGCGAAAAACTTCAACTTCGTCTGTGTGAATACGGCCACACAAACGCTCACCATTGAGACTGTTAAAATAGCGATACTCATGCGAGGCCAGGCAAGACCCTCTTAGTTATTTAAACTTTACTCGGTGTTGTACCACCATGCAATAGCGGGACTTCCAACCGCCACCACCATACTCAGGTGGCGGCGGTCGGAAATCCCGCTATTACCTTCACAAGGATGTGGAAAGAGGTCGTTACGTCGGGCTCACAGGGATCTTCACGTAATGTTGCTAGCGAAAACGAAAAAAAAAACTAACTGTACAGCCAGGAGTTCACCTGAACCAGACCAACGAAAATGTTCTATTCTTCTTCGCCGTCCAAAATGAGTATGATCCACAGCAACTCGTTCATCAACGGTGGCATTACCGCCTCTCCCAAGAAGCGTCGTCTCGATGCTGTACATGAAGGCAAAAAAAGGAAATGAGACGAAAATTACCATGAAAGCAAAATGAATGGCGTGAGGCGTAGTTGGTTGTAGAAACAAGATTTAAATGAGAAATAAGAAAAATTGAAAAGAATGTAAGGAAAAGATGGAACAAAAAAAAGTGCCGCCAAATCCACGAAGTGAATGATGATGAGTGGGCGAAGCTCCGGAGGTAAACTTGGTAAACCATGAATCCTCTGTACATTTTGCCCACTCGATTTTATTACATCGCTCCCCCTAGCGTACGTCGCCGCACTAAATCGAACGATTACCTTCAACCAATGACACGCGCCATATGTGACATCATTCCTATTTTATAAGATCTCGCGTCTTTCATCAACTACAAGTACCGCTTTCTAGTTTATAACATCTTGCATCTTTTCATCATCAGCTACAAGTACTACCATCTAGAAAACACTACAAGAACTAAACGAGAGGTGGCTACATACAGGAGACGGTACCGCCATCTAGTGAACACTGCAAGAACTAAACTAGAGGTGGCTACATACAGGAGACGGTACCGCCATCTAGTGAACACTGCAAGAATTAAACTAGAGGTGGCTACATACAGGGGACGCACAGCCCACGCCCTAAGGAGCTTCGCCCCTAAAAATAAGCGAAGTTACCGATAAAGTCAGTAACTAACTGGTGACTCACAGCGCGAAAAGTATGGTTTGAGCCGAGAAACGTCAATGACTTCAGTTTGCGGGGTGAAACGGAAACGCCTCGAAGTGCCTTCTGGGAGAACCTCGTAAGTGACCTCGCTGAGACGTCGTACGAACTTGTAAGGGCCGAAGTAGTGGCGAAGAAGCTTTTCTGAACGGCCACGATGTCGAATAGGGGTCCACACCCAGACTTCAACACCATGCCTGAAAATAACTTCACGGTGATGAAGATTGTAGCGGCGCGCGTCTGCGGTTTGGTGATGTTCAATACAGT